TTCTGAACTTTCATTCCATTTCTTTTTTCTCAATTTCTCCTCTTCTCATCAACATTACACAAGGTAATTGCTTCCCCTTTTTCTCCCCTCATTTTGAATTCTAGGGTTCTTATTTGTATAATTTCTCTGTATTTTTTATGATAATTGCATCACTTGATTTGTTTTTTCTAATCTCCATTTTTGTTGGATTGTAGGAAGAATAAAGAATTAAAATTAAAAAATGGGAAAAGGATCAAAAGAGCGCGCAAAGGAGCGTCGTGAACGTAGAATTACAGAAATTTCTCTGCTTCGAACAATGTCTTATTTTAATCAGCGGTAATTTCTTTCCCTATTTTCATTTTTTTTTTCAAAAATTTAAAAAGTTTTGAAATTTTGGTTTATTGTTTTGTAAAATGATTGATTGTTATCTTCAGCATTTAAGTATATGGTGCTACATGTTGGCCAATGTTTATAAATTTGGGTAAAATTGAATATGTTTTGACCTCCCGGAAATTGGCCATCGTTTGCAAATGAGAATCCAATGCCCAAAATTTTTGGGCAATGCTTCAATTTTTGGTGTGATTGAATATGTTTTGACCTTCAGGAAACATGCTTTCATTAATAGTTTTTCATCTAATGCTAAAATGTTGGACAATGTTTCAAATTTGGATGTTTTGACTTCCCAAAAACTCGGCACCATTAGCAATTGATCACCCATTGCCCAAAATGTTGGCCAATGTTTCAAAATTTGGGTGAAATTGAATATATTTTAACCACCCGGAAACTACTCACTGTTAGCAATTGACCATCAAAGCCATAGATGTTGGCCAATGTTTCAAAATCAGGTGTAAGCCGTGTAACTGAATATATGTTGATCTCCCGGAAACTTGTTACTTTAGATAATGAGCATCCAATGCCCAAAATGGTGGCCAATGTTTCAAATTTGGGTGAAATGTAATATGTTTTGACCTCCTGGGAACTCGTCAGCATCCAGTGCCCAAAATGTTGGCCTATGTTTTGAAATTGGGTAGAGTTGATTTTTTATTTTATTTTATTTTTATTTTTATTTTTTTTACCTCCCAGGAATTTGTAACCATTAGAAGTTGAGCATCCGATGCCCAAATGGTTGGCCAGTGTTTCAAATTTGGGGTAACATTGAATATGTTTAGAAAACCTGGAAACCCTTCAATATTAGATTATTTGCAATTAACATTCGATGCATTCAATCTTGGCCTATGTGTTTAAATTTGTGTAAAATTGAAAATATTTTGTCATCTCTGAATCCAGATACCATCAGCAAATAGCAATGGATGACGCAGCAATGTATATAATATGTCAATCAGGTTATTGAATATGGTCTTATAAATGAAACAGGCTAGAGCGTTGTCTGTTTTATAATCTTTATGAGTGTTTTGTATCCAAAATATTTAATCAAATGGGTTAGCAGGATACAGCATGATATATTGTTTAAGATGGTAGCTTGTATGTTTGGTTATTGTTTGCATTTATTGAGTGTATGAGGTGGAACATTTTGTTTTGTCTAGCAACACTTTGTGTAGCGATATGGTTGAACATGAACATGGATTGTGCTGATAAAAGGTCTAGTTGCTTTGGCTTTGAAATGTTATTTTGCATACTGATTGCTGTCACCATTTGATTTGTTCTGTGAGGCTGTGACCAAGTTATGGTGCTGTTCCTTAAGTGCTCAATTGGGATCTAAACAAAAATGAGGCTTATGACATCAGCAAAATAGGGTACATTGGTTCATCACTACATCCTTTATGGAATTAACCACTTAGTTCACTTCTATGAGTAGTTTCATGTGTGTTTAGATTCCTCTTTGAGTGACGTAGTAAATGTATTATTAAATGTTAGAGGAAGGACCATAACTTAATTAATAATTTGCTTACCTAGCATGAGAAAACAATTTAACTGTTGTTTTCAAAATGAAGAGTTTTAAAGAATGATTGAGTTTTGGTCTGTTGATTTTCCTAGGCGCTTTTATTTGCTTTAAAAGTTGATTCTTGGCATTTCTTCTTTTTGGAGTGTCTTAGGTGGTGGACCTCTGAAACTGTTGCAGTAGTGACTGGAGGTAACAGGGGAATTGGCTTTGAGATTATTCGACAACTTGTGCTGGTCATGGGATGACTGTTGTACTGACCTCAAGAGATACAGAAGTTGGTATTGAGGCTGTGAAGGTTCTGCAGGAGGCTGATCTGTTGGTGGATTTCCACCAATTGGATATTGTTGATCCTCAGTCGATCAAAGAGTTTGCTGAATGGATTAAAGTGACTTATGGCGGCTTGGATATTTTAGTAAGCATACCTATTTCTGTTACGTTCCCAAATCATTTTGGGACTAAAGCTTTGTTGTTGTTGCTCTTGTATATCTATTTACGTTGCGTCCCCCCATCCCGTTTGGCCAAGACAAGCACATCTTAGGCTTACTATATTTCTTTGACTTGCAATTTTTATTAGAATGCTTAGGAAGCCATTCTTTTGCGTAGTAACTTAGGAAGTACTAATAAAAGTCAAGTTTCATACAAAGAAGAATGGAGAGATATACATAGATGATTCATTAGATGATTGAGACTTGAGAGTATCTGAAGGCCATTGATGCCCCTTTAAGGATTTAAGGGGGAAGATTGTTCATTTGTGCTGTGCTCACTTTCCACGGCTGGGGATGAGACATACAGTTTGGTGCTTATGGCTATGTCCTCATATATTTTTTTTCCAATTCTTATGGTACTAGATCACAAGGTGTCAGTTTTTTGGAAATAATTGGAGTAGATAACATTCATAACACTATACAATGACATAGCCCTATAAACTTTAATCTGTAGGGTTATTTTTTAGTAATATAATTGAAAAAAAAAAAAAACTTTTTATATTACAGTTCTGCGTTAGCTTTAAATAATGTTGCTGCTTCATAATTGTTCAGCATTCACTACTTTTCAGGTAAATAATGCAGGTGTCAATTTTGATGTTGGATCAGAGAATTCTGTTGAACATGCAGAGCAGGTTATTAATACAAACTACTATGGCACAAAGAATTTAACTGAAGCTATGATCCCTTTAATGAAACCTTCTTCGTTTGGTGCTCGTATTGTTAATGTCGCTCAAGGCTTGGCCGATTAAATGGCAGAAGAAATGTAAGCTGACTGTCTCAATATTTTTCGGACTTTTTGCACCGTAAAGCAAAAAGAAACATGCTTGAGTTGATTTCATGCTTGCATACTCTAATCAACCCAGAAAATATCTATTTTTTTTTTCAGAGGATTGAAGATGTTAGCTTGAGAGAACAATTATCTAACGACGACTTGCTCACAGAGGAGTTGATTGACAATACTCTGAAAACCTTTCTGCAACAAACAAAAGATGGTAGCTGGACATTAGGGGGGTGGCCTCAGAACTCCACTGTGTACTCAATGTCAAAGCTTGCTGTTAATTGTTACTCCAGGTATCTGGCAAGAAAACTGTGTGATCGACCTGAGGGTGAAAAAAATTAGTGTAAATTGTTTTTGCCCTGGCTGGGTAAAAAACTGCCATGACAGGTTGGACTGGTAATGTGTCTGTTGAAATCGGTGCAGACACTGGTGTTTGGCTTGCATTGCTTGCTGGGCAGCCTGTTGTCAATGGGAAATTTTTTGCTGAAAGACGTGAAATACACTTCTAAGAAACTTTGGCTACACCTTGAAGATATTGGCTTTAGTTTCTCCGGGTAATTCTTTCATGATATAATTACTGCTTATCATATTAGTGAAAAGCTGAAATCATACAAATTTTGTAATTAAATTGAGGCAAGTCTCAAATGGTTTAGGTGATATAGCCATGGTCATTACTAGACTAATATTTAACTTAACAATATCTCTAATTAGAGATTCCTCGATGGCATTTCTGTTTTCAAGAGTGGTGGAAACTGGAAAGTAATGTATGGACTGTGCTCGTTTTAGCTGATTTGCATCTGCCCTTTGTATTGGCATGTATCTGTAATTAGCATCCTCTCTGTACACAATAGCTTCCAGCGACTCGTTTTAGTCCCATCTATATTTGCTGGAGTATGGTGCTTGCTCTGTTGCTCAAAAACTACATTTACATTGTTTTTTAATTGAAATCTGTATGATTTGCTTATTGTGTAATGAAGTACCATTAACTCATTTTGGATCTGGTTGCTGATTATGATATTTTGCAATTGTGCACTTAGTGTTTCTTAAACTTTTTTGCCCTGTTGCTATGTATACAATCAATAAGCAAGTCAAAACACAGTAGTTGTTAGCAAAGGGCATTATCTATTAGGGTTGTCCAAAATTAGATTATATGAGAATTCAATCTGCATCTGACCGATATTTTTTGGATATTTAAATTAGGGATATTGTATGCTCATTTGGATATTGTTTTTTCAAATTTTTGGGTATCTGATATGTAACGAATGTTGGATGATATTTATTTATTTATTTATTTATATTAATCTTATTATACCATATTCTCCACTTAAACAAGCCATGTAAAATAAAAACGAAAAATTTATTTTAATACTCTCAACTTAATCATGAATGTAACAAAATATATTTTTATGAAATTTGTTCATTTAATTAAATATGGTCTAGCTATTCTATTCTTATTCTTGTTGTTGTTGTTGTTATTGTATGATAAATATTCATTTTCAATATATTAAATGATCAAAACAAATTTGACGGGTTCACTTTTTATTATATTACTAAACTAATCATTGGCTCATTGGTCTAACTCATCATAGATTTATAAGTTTGATCATAATTAATTAAAAGGGGTTAATATTGAACAATATTAACAAGTGAACGAAAATATAATAATCTATATCATCTTTCATTAAAGTTATGTCAATGAAGTCCCAAATTGATCTATTTGGGTTTTGTATCTTGGCTTGAACTCATAGGCTAATTGTGCATTTCATCATATCCAACATATAAAGTTACACATTATGCACTTACAATAAAACCTTGAGTAAATTAAAATTTATTATTATATTGCAAAATGTGGTCATCATGATGCTTTATGAGTGCCTCCATAAAATATCATGCGACCATGAAAATCAGTATCATAGCCACCATCTATAACAGTGTAAAGTGGATCACAATCCAAAACCATATGAATGTCTTCGGGATTTAACACATTCTTAAAGTTTTCATCAACATATGTAGAATGTGCAATAACTGCTGAATATGGAGCATTGGTAGTTGCTAGTAGACCGTTGCCCATTTCAGGTGCGGGAACTTTTGGATAGCCTGGTCCGTAACTATAAACCTCACCTCCCCATTCAACTTTATCAGCAACGTGTGCCAATTCATTAAATAATTCTTTGGGCATATCCAATTGCTTTTCTTTTACGGGATACTGATAGCCACCAATTCCCGTCATCTTGATGCTACACCCTCAAATCAAAATTTTGTTTACTAGAGAAAGTGATTAAATAGAAAAAAAAAAACGGACATGTTAAGCTATCTATACATACAATTTAAACCGTAACAACTCAACACTTCTTGTTGGTTATAAAACTATCTCATAAATTATTGTCTGTTAATTAGTCTAATATCTTCCATTAAGTTTAACAAAAATAATATCTTTCTTTAAATATATGCTAAAATGGTGTACTTCAAGTAAATAAAAACGAGAGGAAATACAGTAATGTATATTAGCTTAATCAATGCTAGTACTCTATGCACGCAATTCGATGCGTGTAGTTTTTTCTTTTCAAAAAGCAATTATTTTTTTATACTTTTCAATAAAGAGCCAGTGTAAATAAATTCAAAATTAATACAAACCAAACTATGATTAAATGCAAGAAATATTAATATTCCTAAATAATTATTTGAACAAGGTCAGTAAATACAAAATATAAACCAATTACTTACATTTGGCATACTCAATTTGTGGTTGGGTTCCCAAGATAAGCTTGGTCATGTACTCTAGTGGTAAGATTGATACCTTCCAACCTTGAGGTTGGAAGGTTCAATCCCCACTAGAGACACTTTGAGGGTGGGGATCCCTTAACCTTTCCTCTCACTCCCAAAGTGTCTGACCCGTAAATATCGGACCAAAAAAACCGTGAAGGTTGAGGTTCGGTCAGGGTCTTTCTCCTATCTTAAAAAAAAAAAATATTGTGGTTGGGTGGTTGTTAAAATCATCAAAAGTTATATTCTTATTTAATTGTGTTTTTTAATTTCAAATTTTGATATTTATATATTTATTATGTAGTCTAACCTGCTTTTTATGTCAATCAATCAATCCTTATTTTATTTTTTCTATTTTTGTTAATGATTATCATTCATTGATTTTATTTATTACCTAAATTGTTTTAAAATAATCAGAGGGGGTATTGTTGGTATGTAGTCTATATTTTGGACACCAGCTTTTCACTCCTCCCTCTTTAATTCCGTTATACCACCTTCGTTTTTTATTGGTTGCAGCAAAAAGGTATTATTTGTAAGATAAAATTCATTTGTTGAAAATAGTAAGAAACAGAGGTATCACAAAAGAAATCTTTTACAAAATTTGTGAAAGCATACCTTATCTATTGATAAATTCCAAGCCACTTGTAGTCCACCAATTGTAGAGTACTTGGGTGGGGATATACCCAAAGGAATATCTGTAGCCACTTGAACAAAACCTGGGCATTGTATATTTATGCAACTTTTTCCTCCAGCCTGTCAAATTAAGTATTTATAAGACAATAAGAAAATCACTAAATAAATCGATACAAGTACCTTATGATTATTAGATATAGGGATTAGATGACGATGTAGATCTAAAAAGTGGATGACATGCTCATGCTAGAGGTGTATAGTGTGCATGTTCATTAGACCTTGTGCAGTTGTGCATCAATTCTTAGAATTGTTACATGAATTAATTACTTGTAACACATTTTTTTTTCACGGTATTTTAAGCAATTAAAAGTGGGTGTAAGTCACATGGTTAATACACGTAAAACTAAGTTAATAGATAATAAGGATAAAAAAAAACCCTAGCCTCCCCTCTCTTCTCTGTCCTAAATTTTAGCCTTCATTGTCAATTTTGAAGGGACTTCCATCGGATTTCACCAGTGGAAAGCCCCAATCTTTATTTTCTTTTAAGTTTTTTGTTTCTCAGGTTACAATAATGTCTCCCTCGAAAGAAAGGGTTTATCTCCTTCGAAAGACAAGGTTTTTTCGATCTCCTTCGAAAGACAAGGTTTTTTCGATCTCCTTCGAAAGACAAGGTTTTTCGGACTCCTTCGAAAGACAAGGTTTTATTTGCGCTTAATTTGGTCTCTGGTTGTGTGGGGCTACTATTGATTATGGCTCAGATTCGGGTTACGAAATCAACACAAGGATTTACTTTCTCACAAAATTGCGAAACGGCGACGGATCCACTCAAAAAGTTGTATGAGACAACGAACCGAGAATGTGCCGAATTGTTATATTTATGTATTTGGATTCTTAGCCCTTCCCCGATTAATTCTTGTTTGATTTTGTTAAATTCGTTTTCATTATCGTTAATTGTCAATTGTAGATGTCGTATGACTATTATTAATGAAATTTAATGTCCTTTTAGGACTTTTTTCAAAAAAAAAAAAAAGTTAATAGATAATAAGGGTAAAAATATGTCCATGAGCTTTAAATAATTAATTAAGGATATTTTTTTCCTCAAAAAAAAAAAAAAAATCCAATTATAATGTGTTGTTACTTGCAAGTATTGAAAAATGGAGAAAGTATATGATATGAGTTGTCTTACAATAATTGAAAGAACTACTTACCGAAAAACTGGCATACAAATGTGCTTCTTTATCATTGAATACTTTAGGATTTACCTGAATTTTAGAATGACCACACGGTGTACATAAAAAAAATATTATATAATATATGAATATACAGTATAGAAGTTGAGACATGATTTAATTTTCTTAAAAAATAATCTACTAATTCTAAATATTTGTATACCATCCATCCAGCTTCAAAACTATCATTCCCATTTGAAAGTTTTAATCGCGTTGAGGAACTTTGATCGTTATTTTGTACATTAGGTTTATAAATTGCAAGTGAGCCGCCAACTCCATTGAATTTCCTTTTCAAATTGTTTGTATGAGCTAAAGCAACCTGCAACGATAAATAATGATAACTACCATTGTTTGATTTTTTTTTTTTTTAAAAAAAACTATACTATTTTGCAAAAATGAAATGTTACTTCCATGTTCCCCTAATATTGCAACATAGGGATGTAAGTATGTGACATAAATGTTAAGTACAAGAGAGGGATTGAAAGAAATAAGATAGCAAAGACCCATGGGATGAAAGAAATAGAAAACTTCCTAAAATGATAAGCATGTGTAAATTGGAAAATATTACAATATTTGTTAAACTTCCTAAAATGATAATAGTTGCAATATTTGTGGAACATATGAAGTACAATGTAGCAAATATAAAAATGTCATTACATATATACACGAAGTGCAATATTGCTTGCCTAACCAACAAAATTAAATACCTTTATAAGCATACATCAAACATAAACATTACTACTTAATGTGTTGTTCTATAATTTATAATGATATAGTAATTAAGATCATAATTTCATAAGAATAACATGCAAACGTCACGTGTCATCTTTCCTTCAATAAGTTATGGTGTCAGTGTGTCATACTGTCACATGTGCTAGCCTATTTGTCATCACACTTCTCTGACCATATTGAATTGTACTCTATAATAATATTTAGTATTTTTGAAAAAAAATATTGGCGAAACTTTAAGTGGTATTTTGGATACATACTCATGTTGTATGAGCATGTATGAGCATCATACAACATGGGGTATTTTGGTCATTTTCAGTGAAATTTTAATTTTTAATGGTATATTTTGTGTTTTATTAGAAACGTATATAATACCATAAGAGTCTTAATAATAGATTTTGTGTACCATTGATATCATTGAAATTTACTCAGTTTATTTGTACTACTAGATAAATATCATGACATATTTATACCATCCGAAACTATTGTGATACCATTACACTATCGATCTAATGGTAATATTTATATACTTAATGGTATCTTCACTATCTCAAGAAAAAAAAAAAAAAAGTTTGAATTATTTACAAAATTGTCATGATATTTGTTTTTTGGTACATCACGAGTATATACTAATAATTCCCCTAACTTTTTTTTTAGGGAAATAATTCCCCTAACTTTAAGTTTATGTAATAATGTATAATTTACTTGCATTAACTCTTCGCATGTATAACTTCCCTATTTAAATTTAATATATCTTATATAATATTAATGAAAGATGATTTACATTATTATATTTTCATTCACTTATAAATATTGTTCAACCTTTTCTAATAAAATAATTTTGATAAAACTTATAATATTATATGAGCCGAGGCATCGTCCGAACCAATAACTAGTTAATTAGAAACACTTACGCAATGCAAATAAAGAGGTAGAGGATTGTTCACGTCATTATTTTGATTAATTCGTAAAATGGGAACAGTTTCTATAGGACAACTATCGTCCTTGAATCCGAAGCCGTTAACTTTTTGCCGTTGAAGTTCTACCAAGTTTGGTATCACCTATGCATACAAAAAAAATAGTGTGATGATGAAATCATGTAGTCAATATGATCTAGTCTATTGGGACATAAACGGAAAAGGAAAATCACGTAATTGAAATTTTATTTGTATGAAATATTGTTTTTTTTTTTATTTTTTTTTATATTCATCACATTTATTTACACAAAGTTTTAGGAGAGTTAATTTACTTTAAAATAAATTGTTAATTTATTTAAATATAAGTACAAGGGGACCATTATTACAACACTAAGCCCAGTAGCAGCCCCTGTTCGCAAGGAGCATTGCTAGCTGCTACTGTTCGCAAGGAGGAAGCAGGATAGGAGGCTGAATTTGCAGAGGCTGCTGCCTGTAGATATGGAATGATCCTTGCGCAACGATTGGGCTACTCAAGAGTGCAACTCGAGTGTGACGCGCAGAATGTGGTGCGAGCTATTAGAGCCAAGGCAATGGGTTTCTCTCCTATTTTTCTGTTTTATGATGACATTCATAGGTTGGCTTCATGTTTTAATATGTTTTCTTTATCTCATGTCAAGCGTGCGGGTAACACTCTAGCACATAATGTAGCACGTTGGGATGCTAGATGTAGTAAAGAGTTTGTATCGTTAGGTCCTTTCCCCCAAAGCTTAATTACTTGACGGAAATTGACCTCATTTAATGAAATTTCGCAGCTTGGTTTCAAAAAAAAAAAAGTACAAGGGGGCCAATAGAAAGATACTAGTATGTGAGAAAAATTGTATATTTTTTAATTAGGGATCATGAAATAGAGAGAAATAATAAAATATTTTGAGTGGAGTTTTAGGGAAGAGAGAAAAATAATATAATATACAAGTAGCATAAATATATTAAGTATAAAAGTGATGAATTAAAATTAGAAAAAAGGGAGTACTACTCAAGGGCTTTACCAATTTTAAGCTAGTATCCACAAGTCGGGCATAATAAGGACTGAGAAAAATTATCCAAAATTAGTGTATCCGATCCGATAAACATAACGATTTGCATACCCGATCCGATAATTTGTTATCGAATATGATTATTGGGTATCATTTTAAAATTCTCGATTACCCAATCCGTTAAACAACTTTTTCTTTTATTATTCTTTTTCTTTCCTACTTAAATGTATTATCCTATATCTATATTGTTATTGTATTTCGTATTCCCTCTATTTTTTTTTAAAGTGTCCCCACAGTGACATGACACACATGCCGCTGCAAAACTTCAATCAATAATATTTTTAATTATCAATAACTACTCTCTCCGTGTTTTAATTAGTGTTACATTCACCACATGTCGATGTGTTTTAATAAATATCACACTTCCTTTTGGCAAAAAACTACATTTTTATACTTTCTTCGTTTATATATAGATAATACGTTCAATTTAGGCACAACTTTAAGGAGAGAAGAGAGAATGTTAAATCAAGTGGGTAGACCATGTGCTTTAGCTTATTTAATCAAGTTTGTAGTGGGTCGACAAAAAATAAACTTACTAAAAAGGAATATGTACTGTGTCAACTAAAAAAATTTCTCAACAAGGAATACGCGTCAAAAAAAAAATAAAAAATAAAAAAGGAGGTAGTATCATATCTTTTCCTTTTCATGATCCCCACCCAAAGACATTACTACTTATTTTTATTTATTATAATTACTCCCCTCGTATTTTATCAATTGCCCCATTTTCCTTTTGCGGTCATATTTTATTACTTGCTCCATTCCTTTTTTATAATGAAACCTTTTTACAATATTTTACTAATTTTTCATTCCTAGTACGTGGAAACCCAAACTATATATCATACTTTAACTAGTGTGTGGCCCGGACGTTGATGCTACTTTACTTAAACTTTGTGATTATGTGTATTAAATAATTTTTGGTATCTTTTTTTTCAATATATATATTTACTTTCATGTGTGTAACATGGTTGCTGATTAGCTTAGATGGTTAAATAACTTTGTTTCCTACAAGTGGTCGGGTGTTCGAATCTTCTTATGCTTATGCTTTTATATTGAGTTGGAATAGTAGTGACATTACATAATGATTAAGGTTGATGATTGAATGGTGTTTAAATAGGTGACTTGGCGTAAGTGAAAGGGTCTACGTGGCACATAGACTTTGCTAGAAACGCCTTTTAATTTATTAGTATAGAAGATGTTTCCATATTCTCTCTCCTCTCAAATATCATACTTTATTTTTCCACAACGCACTTCCTTCATATTACTTTCTACTGTTTTTACTAAATCTCAGCGTATGGAGAAACAAAATAAATAATAAAATACAAAGGGAGTATTTTTATTTCCTTTCACATTCGTTACTTTTTAATAAACTATTAAACCACTATTTTTCTTTTACATCTATTTTAATATTCCAACTATCCGCTCAACTCTGTGTCGGTTAGGGATGTCAGTGGGGCGGGTCAAGTAGGAGACCCGCCCCATCCCCTCCCCATGGGGGCGAGGATGGGTCTCGGTTTGGCGGGTGGTGGGGCGGGGATGGGGATAAAAACCATACCCGCCATGGGTGATGGGGCGGGGGTGGATTTTAAGTTGTACCCGCCCCATCCCCGCCCCGCCCCGCCCACCCCACTTCGTAACCGCCCCATCCCCACCTCATACCCACATCTATATATCTTTTAAAGCAAAATTACATACTTTTATTCAATTTATAAAATAATTACATGAAATACAATATTAATTATAATACTTTGTACGACACTTATATTATAACACAAAAATGTGTATAGAATGTTTTATTTTATAATTCGTATTAATTATGTAAGATTGTGTATTTGAGATACGGATATTAGGTGGATCTTGGGTGGGGATTAGGCGGGTTTTTGGTAAGGATTAGGTGGGGATGGATATCCAAGTGGGGGGTGGGGCGAGGATGAATCTGGAGTTGTACCTGGTGGGGCGAGGATGGGGATGAAAATTGGACCCGCCGCGGGGATGGGGATGGGGATGGGGATGGGGATGAAAATATTAGGTGGGGATGGGGATGGGAAGGCCAACATCCGCCCCGCCCCGCCCCATTGACATCCCTAGTGTCGGTTAAAGTGTGTCGGTCAAACTATGTGTTGGTCAAAGTGTAAAACATTTTCCTTTAAAAGTGATTAAAAGGCTAAAGTAATGTGTCGGTCAAAGTATAATATTTATAAAAAACACATAGGGAGTATAAATTACAATTAAATGAATATTAATAATCTACTCATTGAAACGATTCCACCAAGTACCCACGAGACTAAATTCATGGATATTATTTTTTGTATTATTGGTTATCGATTACCCGAACCGATAGTGATAACGGTTCGGGTACTCAACCCATTCTCACCCCTAAATATATATAAGGATTTTTTGTGGAAAACTACCTTTTATATACAACTTTTTGTGAAAAACTACCTTTTAAAAAAAATTGTTGTAAATGACTACCTCTTTTCAAAAAAATGTTGTAAATATCTACCACTTGCCAGAATCTCGCGGTTGACTTACTTTTCCGGCGTTGACTAGATCACTTGGCGGCTTTTCCCCATTTTCGACCACCCCCACCCCCTCCTCCTCCTCCCTTTTCCAGTTTTCGACCACCCCCACCCCCTCGCCGTTAACTCCCCTCCCTTTGTCCAGTTTCAGACTGCCCCTACCCATACCCTTGCCGGAAAATTGCGCTTGTTGCCTCTCCGCCTTCCTTCCCGATTTTCGACCATCCCCACCCCCTGTAAGACCTCTTTTTCCCTAGCCATCCTTACCCCTTCTTGCAAACCTCCTTTAATCTAGTCGTCCCTACCCCTTCTTCCCCGCAACCACCATTAAAACCAACCTTCAATGTCTTTGAAACCTGAAATTCAAAAAAAAAAAAAAAAAAAACCCCAAACCCAGAAATTGAAAAGGGTAAGGTTTTCGAGGGGGCCGAAGGAGGGTGGGCGGGATTTTGAGGGTGAGATATGGTGGGTGAGATGAAATTTGGCCAGAAATTGATAACTTGTTTGAGGGGTTTTGAAGTATTTGGGGCCGAAAATCAGAAAATTGATAATTTGTTTGAGGGGTGGCCGAAAATGTCTGTCGAAAATGGAAGTGGGGGTGGTCTGATTGTGAGGGCTGCAAGAAGGGGTAAGGGATGGCTAAAAGGATGGCTGCAGGGGTGGCGGTGGTCGAAAATTGGAAAAGGGAGGCGGAGGGGGTGGGTGGTGGTCGAAATTTGGTAAAGGGAGGCGGAGGGGGTGGGGATGGTCTAGTCAACGTCGGAATTAAAAGTCAACGGCAAGATTCCGGCAAGTGGTAGTTATTTACAACATTTTTAAAAAAGAGGTAGTCATTTACAACATTTTTTAAAAGGTAGTTTTTCACAAAAAGTTGTATATAAAAGGTAGTTTTTCACAAAAAATCCTATATATAATCATATTATAATTTAACCAAAAGATTAACGGAGTAAGAATGTATAAATATATAATCATTAACATTTACTCCCTCCGTTTTTAAATACTTGCTCAATTTCTCCATGCGCGGAGTTTTAGGAGAAATTGGAGAAAGTAATAAAATATGGAGGTAGTGGGGTTGGTGGAAGAATAAAAAATTGTAAAAGGCAAAAGTAGTGGAGAGAATTGGAAGAGAGAATATATGTTGGGTCCACTAAGTGAGAGAAATTAATTAAATATTGTAAAAGCTTTCCAAATAAGGAAATGGAGCAAGTATTTAAAAACGGACGAAAAAGGAAATTGGAGCAAGTATTTAAAAACGGAGGGAGTACTAATAAGGCTCCTGTCAATAAATAAATAAAAACATAAATACTATTGCTAGTTCACTATTTTTTAAACTTATTTCATATAGATTATAAAAAATTATCTAAAAATATAAATTTTGGCATACTGTATCATTTTGTAGGTAAGTTTTAATTGCTAATCGTTGATTCGTAATGAAAATTAACTATTTGAATATATGAATCCACATATGAATAAAATATACATTATTGCAAATCAAAAACACGTATTTGATGTATTTTTTCCTCATAAATTAGTGTACATTATAGCATATAAGGTCAAAGTTTAGTTAGATAAGACATAATAGAAAAAATATATTTAGATTAAAGCAGAATAATAATTTTAAATTGAATCATTTCAGTAATAATAAGGTGAAAAAAAAATTAATCCTAAATCACACATTATTTAACTTGCCTTAGATGATTGGTTTTTCAGCGATGGATGGCTAAACGCCGGTTGTTTGTAGAAGTCTACACAATCATAAACACCATGTTTTGTCTATTGACAAGAAAGGAATTTTAGATTAAATATCTTTAATTAAACAAAGATTTTTATAGATAAGAAGAGTGAAAAAAAGTACCTTGATAGTCTTCACTTCATGCTGGCTAGAGAACGATGCACCGCATAATCCATCAAAAACTAATGAAGAAAATATCATTAAGAGGAAAGTAGGAGAAACCATCTCTAACTTTAAAATACTACTTTGTTTTAATAATGTATGATATATGTTCCTTAAGTAGAGATATATATAAAGCAACTTCAATTTAATATAGAAATCACGAAATTGGTAAATAATCAAGACTTTATTCACATGAATCACTTAGAAGTTTTTTACCAAAAATAAAATATTATTAACAAAAACTTACATTTAAAAATGGAAACATCGATGTTAAGAAAATAATGCAAATTTTCTATTTAATCAAATTTGAGGGAGAAATAAATTACATAAACAAAATGTCTATTTATACCAAAGTGCAAAAAACACAACCCCTCTTTTCTCTGAGTTATTTTTCTTCTCTCAGATTTTCTCTTGAAAATTATTACATACAAATGAAGGAAATGCTCAATTTATAGTTTTCCTAAAACAACCTAAGCCATTTAAAATTTAGCCTGCAATATTTATTACCATTAGTTATTTTTCCCTATATTTGGAAACACCTTTAATGTTCAATGGTAATGCATGGTTATTTAATAACCATTTTTTTTTTCTTTATGTTTCTTAATTATCTGCCAACAATCTCCCACTTGAAGACTGATTTCAATCTGTCTTCACACCAAGGAGTAGAACCTCAACTAGTCTTCTGTCATTTTAAGACCAATTGATGTTGAGCACAATTTCAACTTGTCAATCGTCACTGTTTTCGTTAACATGTCTGCTGGATTCTTACTGCCAAGAATCTTTTTAAGAGTTAACACTTCATCTTCTAGAAGAGACCTGATAAAGTGATAACAAATACCGATGCGCTTTGTTCTTGAGTGAAACGCCGAATTCTTTGCTAAATGTATAGCACTCTGACTATCGCTATACAAAATATTATTCACTTGTTTGAACCCCAGCTCATCTAACAAACCTTGAAGCCATATCATCTCTTTACTAGCTTCGGTCACTGCCACATACTCAGCTTCTGTAGTGGATAAAGCAACAATCTTTTGTAGTTGGACATCCAACTTACGGCTGTATTTCCAACTGTAAATACATAACCCGTTGTGCTCTTTCTATTATCGACTTCACCGCCAAAGTCTGCATCAACGTAACCTTGTATTTTCAATTCACCTTTACCAAAGTACAAACACTTATTAATTGTACCTCGTAAATACCTCAAAATCCATTTAACAGCTTCCCAATGGACTTTTCCTGGATTGGACATAAACCAGATTACAATTCCCACTGCATGTCCAATATCTGGTCTTGTACAAACCATTGCATACATCAAACTTCCAATAGCCGAGGCATAAGGAACCTTGGCCATATATTCTTTATCTTCATCTGTCTGAGGGGACTGATCCTTTGATAGACGAAAATGACTCGCCAACGGTGTACTAACAGGCTTAGCATCACCCATATTAAATCTCTGAAGAACACATTTGATGTACTCTGATTGTGATAACTGCAAAGTGCCTCTCTGCTTATCTCTTGTGATTTGCATTCCTAAAATCTTCTTTGTTGGACCCAAGTCCTTCATGTCAAATTCCTTTGACAATTGATGCTTCAACTTTATAATATCATTCATATCAGAACCTGCTATTAACATATCATTAACATAAAGTAATAGGATGATATAACTGGATTGATATCTCTTGGAGTAGCAACAGTGGTCAGCGTTGCACTTCTGGAAATCTTCCTTGTGCATGAAGTTATCAAACTTTTTGTACCATTGTCTTGGGCTTGTTTTAGCCCGTATAAACTTTTCTTAAGTTTGCATACCATCTTCTCTTTCCCACTTTTTATAAAACCTTGTGGCTGGTGCATGTATATTTCTTCATCAAGATCTCCATGAAGAAATGCAGTCTTCACATCTAACTGCTCGAGATAAAGATCTTCAATTGCAACAATACTCAACATTGTTCTAATGGTATTAAGTTTCACAACAGGAGCGAATATCTCATTATAATCAACTCCTTCTTTCTGTTGAAAACCTTTGACAACTAGTCGAGCCTTATACCTCTTGGAATCATCGTGCTCCTTTTTTGCTCGATATATCCATTTGTTATGAAGGGCCTTCTTACCTATGGGTAACTCAGTTAGTTCCCATGTCTGGTTTGAAATCAGGGATTGCATTTCATCTTTCATTGCAAGCCCCCACTTGCTAGCATCTCTGGTCTGGGATGCTTCATAATAATCTTCTGGTTCCCCATCATCAGTTAATAACAAATAATTCATATATTTTCTATTAGGCACATGTGGTCGAGTACTCCTTCTTAGGGTAGGAGTTGGACAAGAAGGTTGTTGTATGTCATTTGATTGCGATGTACTGCCCTGTACAGTCTGTTCTTCTTGTTGCGGAGTACTTATGATAGTGTACTCTTGCATCGTACTGTCTGGGACATAATCTTCATCGATGAATGTAGATTCTTTTTGATTTGTTTCATAACTCTCAATTTTATGCCTATCTTTGTACATGACTCTCTCATTGAAAATTACATCTCTTGAACGAATAATCTTTTTGCTTTCATCATCCCAAATGCGGTATCCGAACTCATCTTCGCCATAACCGATAAAAGTGCAAACTTTTAATTTAGGATCAAGCTTATTTCTGCCTTGATCACTAATGTGCACATAAGCTACACAACCAAATACCTTTAAGTGCGACAATTTGATCTCTTTGTCGCTCCATACCTCCTCTGGTAATTTGTACTCCAATGGGGTTGATGGTCCTCGATTGATCAAGTAAGCTGCTGTATTGACTGCTTCTGCCCAGAATTGTTTTGGTAGACCTGACTGTATACGAATGCTTCTGGCTCTTTCTGTCAATGTTCGGTTCATCCGCTCAGCTATGCCATTATGCTGAGGCGTACCTGGCACAGTTCTTTCCATCTTAATACCATGCTCGTAGCAAAACTTCTTGAATTTGGTGTCCTCATATTCTCCGCCATTGTCGGACCTGAATCTTTTGATCTTCAGACCTGTTTCATTTTCAACCCTAACTTTCCATATCCTGAAAACTTCAAACACTTCGGACTTGTATTTTAGAAAGTAAACCCATACTTTCCTAGAGTGATCATCAATAAAAGTCACAAAGTACTGTTTTCCACCTATAGACTGGGTGGTTGTTGGTCCCCACACATCAGAATGAACAAGCTCCAATTTTTCTTTCATTGGAGTTCTTCCATATGTCTGAAAGCTTACCCTCTTCTGCTTTCCAAGTATGCATTCTTCACACATGTCTAAATTCACAGATTTTAGACTAGGGAGTTTTCCAATTGAATGCATGATCTTCATTCCTTTCTCACTCATGTGACCAAGTCTTTGGTGCCATAACTTGGAATTTTCATTCTCTGTTGCAACTGCAATCGAATAACACGCTCCAGCTGTCAAATAGAGAGTACCATTCTTTTTACCATGAGCAACTATCATTGCTCCCTTTGAAATCTTCCAATTATCACCTTGAAAGATTATAGTGTAACCTTCACGAGCCAACTACCCAACTGAGATCAAGTTCTTTCTTAGGTCGGGAACATGTTTGACATCCTTCAGCTCCCAAGCTGACCCATTTAACTTAATTTTGACATTACCTTGACCAACAATATCACAAGGTTGGTCATCACCAAGGTATACCTGTCCAAGGTTTCTATGGACATACTTCTCAAAAAAGTTTTTATTAGAAGTAGCATGGAACGATGCTCCAGAGTCTAATACCCTAGACTCTTCTTTGCTCTCCAATGAGCATATCAACGCATCATCACCTTCTCCGGTAGAAGTGACATTTGCCTCTGCCTTCACTTATTTGCCTTTTGGTGTTCCCTTACACTGATTTTTATAGTGCCCAATCTTTCCATAATTCCAACACTCCACAGTCTTTGAGTTTTGGAAATTATTTGGATTCCTGGATTTTGACCTCCTATCTCTGGATTGTCCTCGATAGTTTGATCTTCCGCGTTCATTCCTTCTGATTAAATTTCTTCCTCTTGACTCTGTATGCAATACCGAAGAGGATGAAGATTCACCTGATTCTCTTCGTCGAATCTCCTCACTAAGAACCAGATCACGAACGTCATCAAACTTCAGCTTGTTATTTCCCGATGAGCTACTCACAGCTGTGACTGTAGCATTCCAACTATCTGGCAGGGAAGATAAAAGTATTAACGCTAATACTTCATCATCAAATTTGATTTCAACAGAACTCAATTGGGTTGTGACAGAATTGAGTTCATTATTAAGGTGTTGAGCTACCGATCCACCTTCCGACATCCTCAAACTAAACAACCGCCTCATCAAATGAACTTTATTGGAGGCTGATGGCTTCTCATACATATTAGAGAGAGCTTTCATGAGACCTGCCGTTGTGGTTTCCTTTGCAATGTTAACCGCCACATTGCGTGATAACGTCAATCGAATAACTCCGAGTGCTTGTCTATCTAAAAGCTTCCATTCTGCTTCTTGCATGCCATCTGGCTTTTTCTCTTCCAGAGGTTGATAGAGTTTTTTTTGGTATAAATAATCTTCAATCTGCATTTTCCAAAATCCGAAATCTTTACCATCGAATTTTTCAAGTTTAACTTCTCCTTTGTCTGCAGCCATTTCTCCCACTCAAATTTGACTTTTTCTTTTAGGATCGTTTTTATTTTTATCGTAATGTGGACTAATTGTCAACCAAGCTCTTGATACCAATTGTTAAGAAAGTAATGCTTATTTTCTTAACAATTGGTATCAAGAGCTTGGTTGACAATTAGTCCACATTACGATAAAAATAAAAACGATCCTAAAAGAAAAGGTCAAATTTGAGTGGGAGAAATGGCTGCAGACAAAGGAGAAGTTAAACTTGAAAAATTCGATGGTAAAGATTTTGGATTTTGGAAAATGCAGATTGAAGATTATTTATACCAGAAAAAACTCTATCAACCTCTGGAAGAGAAAAAGCCAGATGGCATGCAAGAAGCAGAATGGAAGCTTTTAGATAGACAAGCACTCGGAGTTATTCAATTGACGTTACCAAAAATAAAATATTATTAACAAAAACTTAC